AACCTGTTCAACCATCACTGTGCTAACTAAAATCCTGGAAAAAAAATTACGTGTTACCACTCAAACCACCCTTTTCCTCTCTGAGTTACACTACCTACACAAAGAAAACAGTGGGTCAGCAGTCAAAAAAGCTATTTACCTGGCAGATAGAGGTCACTCCGCTTTCAGAGGAGTCAGACCCACTAAGAATTCAGCAGGAAGCATGCTGACTAAGAACGTAAGACTGCAACTTTAAAAGAAGGACCTATACACTGGCATGAAGTAACAGCACTCCACAGATCTCACATACTAATAAACCAGCAAGTAGAATTAGGACATGAGCCCTTGGCATACCTTGGACTCTGAAAAACACTGCCTTTTTTTTTTTTCTTTTTGGATATAAACCACATTTCATCACCTTACCTTTCTCCAAGAGGAAACTCAAACATTTGTGTTTAGATAACATAGGCCTGTGGTATGAGACACACTATCAAACATGCCTGAGACTCCTGCCCTGCTCTGGAGTAGATCAAAACACAGTAGATCCTGTCTGTGCTGGCTCACACATTCATCAAGAGATCACAGAAAGTGTAAGCAGCAGGCTCAAGAGGAGGAAGGGGGGGATGCCTGGAATTCCAGAGTTTGTCTAGTCACGATGAAGCCCTACTTACCTGGAAATCTCTGAACATTTGGCTGCCGATGGGAAGTAGGGAATTAAATCCTTATTTTGATTTGCCTACAAGCAAAGGTTCTGCTTTACCTACGAAAGTGTCTGTATCTCAACCCAGGAGTTTTCTGACTTTTACCCTTGTGATTCTCCCCTCCAACCCACTGCAAGGGAGTGAGTGAGCAGCTGTGCTGAGCTGAGCTGCCTACTGGGGTAAGCCCACAACACAGGGACAGAAGTGTCATTTCCTGTGGCTTTACTACAACTACTGATGTTATGTGTGCCGTTCATAAATGGAACAATATATCTGAAATCAGTTTAAGACTCGGAAGCTATTGCCTCATGCTTTATGTATCACTCATGGAGGTAATGTCAGTCTCTTCCACTTCTATTGCCAAGTTCATCCATGTCTCCCCTGAACAAAAAAAAACACCTTTAGCCTTTCTAGAAGTGGCCACCTTTATTCTCACACAAGTCACCACTTTTCTCTCAGGTGTAAATCTCCTACCTGGATTGCCACGCCTTCCCAGAGTGACCTGCCCACCTGGATCCCTTACCACAGTATCTCTAAGTCTGTGCACAGATTTACTGCAAGCCTCCCTCCCTCCTCCTTGCTCCTCCCTCCAAAGCCATGCGGCCCAATTGCCTCCAGCACACAGAAATGGGAGAATAAAAGCGAATCCATTCCTCGACCCCTGCGGTCAGGAATGAGCTTTCACCCAGAGCTCTATGTTCCACCGGGTGATATGCACACAGGCATGCAGGAAACAGGCTGGCCTGATGCCACCACCTCGCGGAGGGGTGTGTGTTTCTGGGTCTCTCACCTTAAGGAAACTGCAAAATGCCAGAGGCAGGGATCATGGCTGCTCCGAGGCCTCAGCAACCACCAAACATTCTTTGGGTTTCTCCCTTTCCAGCTGTCTTTTCTGAAAGTGTCTAACTGGAATACAGAATTTAATTAGACAAACATAGAACCCTGGGGAGAAGGGATCTAAACCCATCCATGATCACTTCCATGTTCAGTCGTGACAGAGGTGGTGACAGCTGCAGCCAAGCAACAACTATGCTTTTTGTTACGTATTTAAATGTCCACTGCACAGGGACATATATACATTCCCTGTATATTTTCAGTCGGCTACTGGGCAGTATGGCATCAAAGTCACATACTTTCAATGAAACCAAAGTGCTGTCTACAACCAGCCAAGGAAAACTGTGTCTCTGCTCCATCCTCAGCTCTGCTCAGGTTGTAGGGGCCTGGACAGAGAAGCACATTGTGCACGTAACTTACGGAGCACCCCCGGAATATCAAAGCCCACACCTCCAAACCCGGTGCCCCTGCTGAACCCAAACGCACCAAACACTCTGAACAGGAGCCAGAGAGCTGATTAAATAAAGTTTATGTCCTCCATGGCACATGTACTATATTAGTGCTGTTCTAGAATATGTCAACACTTAATTTATCACATGCCAACTGATGCCCTGAGTTAACTAAAGAGTGCGGACAAAAGGAGAGGTGAAAGCATGATGTATTCACCAGGTTGTCACACTGCCAGTGGAAACCAAGTAGCAGATGCCTGCATCTGCTAAATTCACATTACTATTTCCTCCTCATTGTTATAGAGATATTAAGTCTGTGAAGTCAGCTACACAGGCCCTTTATATTTTTCCGCCCCTAAAAAAAAATAGTTGGAAGTATTTTGCAACAGATATTTGGTGAATCTAAATTTTTTTCATTTTATTACTAGTCTTTTACAATTTAATGTTACTTGATGAGTTTGTGTTAAAAGCCAGGTTCAAGGTTCAGTAATATGTAAAGTTTTAAAACCACCTTCAGAGAAGGAAGGAGAACCCTTTAGGAATGTCTTCCAAAATGCTTAACCATCTACCTGGGGGGACAAAAAAAAAATCAAACAAGTCACATCCACTTTGTGTCTCACCAGCCACACCTAGGAGACCACTCTGAACAACAGAGCAATGTTTAGTGTTTTGTTACTTGTTTAGCGTTTTTATTACCCCAACAATCTCCAATACTCACAGGGCTCAACTATCCACAACTAAGACATCGAGTAAATAAAAAAAATCAAACATCACTCAACTGCACCTTTGCTCAGCCTCACCAGTTGCCTTGATAACAGGCACTAGGTAGAACTAGATACCTTCACCAGAAAACACAGGGAATAAAGCATTATTCCTTCAGAACTAGAGCTACAAGTTTCTTCTTAAACCTTCCTCTGTCCAGGAAAAAAAGGGGAAGAATTTTATTTCTGTATGAAATCAGGAAACCCTACACTCTGGGGCTGTCCTGCAAACTTTATTTATTTTACTTACATCACTCAAACTCCATCAACCTTCTCCCACATCCTTAACTCTCCTCAGTACTGACTGCTAGGAAGTCACCTTTCAGAGTCATGTGCCAGAGATAAAGGCTTTTTCAGATAACACGTGGAAAAACAGTGACATTAAGTGATTTGTTGGATTACTGACAATAAAACTAACCTAAAAGCAGTCCCGGGGAGCACAGCAGGAGTTCAGTTGCTATTCAAAGGGAGGCATCAAACAAACGCCTGGGCACTTATCTAACAAGTTCACCTGAAATTCACTGGGAGACCAGTACATTTTCAGATTAATCATTCAACAGCTCTGTAACAAAAATAGTGTTCATGGATAATCTTCAATTACAAACACAATATACAGAGCATTTACTACATAACCAGAAAGTAATATAATCATTTCTGAAGCCTAAAAATATACTGAAGAGTATTTTTTACACCACTGAAATAAACAGGGGAAATTAAAAAAAAAAAAACACAAATCTGTTTTTCTTGAACAAAAGTTTTAATTAAAACTGACTAAAGGACACGGTGAGAATGCACTAGCATATGAAAGCATGGCAAATATTCCCCTTACCTTTTTTAACCCAAAAGACAAGAAAAAGTAATCTGAAACAAGTAAATGGTCATATTAAGTTACTTATTTCTGTTTAATTTTAACTGCTTGAAGCAGACAGCTGTTTCTAGCTCTGACACTGTAAATAAAGCACTGCTGAATACCAGTAAAAGACAAAAGGAATGGAGGCACAAGGAATACAGGACTGCTTAAACATTACGTTCCATTGGTTAGTGTTGCAAGCCAGTGAGAAGGACTACAAACTAGAATTAAAGACAAACAGAAAAACCAAATAGCTTGATACCAAATCCAGAAAAAAAAAATGTTTTGAAAACACAAAAGGAAAAGGTGCTTTGCAAAATACTGGTATCAGACCAGAAAAAAAAAAAAATTCCCAAAGCATTCATTTTGCCCCTAAATTCTCAAAAGGATGATCCAAAAGATGAATCATTAAAAAGAGACTCTATTTAACCTTAACAAGAATGGTCTTATGGTTTCAAGAAAGCTTTCAGTTAATATCACTCCTCAGTAGTATTTCTCAGAACTAACTCCAGTTTAATTAACTGTGTGTTGAGAAATATAGAAGCAGAGGTTCTCCTTTTGCTGCAGTAACGTTCTTCCTTACCCTGTATATTTTCAGTTGACTACTTAAAGAATTCCAGCAGAGCACAACTAGTACCAATGTGAGTCTAAAAGTTGACTCTGGGGAACTTCTGTGTCTCTAGTCAGTATAACTTCTTCAGTGCAATACCCCAACCAATTTAAAACAAAACTACCACGACTTGACTAAAACCACTAAGAGTTGAAAAATACTGCAAAGCTGGTTTGCACCTGATATTTCCTCTTCCTTAGGGAAATCAAACAACATAGATTCCAACTCTGAAATTGAAGCTCTTATCTTAAGGGTTACTAGTTCCCAAGTAACAATTCTGAGTCTGCTCTAATGAAAGAGAGGAACAGGCAAATTTCACAAGGGTTTGGGCATTTTGGTTGAACATAAGTGTTGTGTGAAATTTCTTATCTAGCATTCTGAACAATGCTGAAAGATACTTCTGTATTTTTCATCATTTCCTCCAGAGCTGGAGCTGGAAGAAGATGACAGAGTCTGAAGAGGTGGATCTCTGCCTCATGTAATATTTTGTTTGTCCAGCTTGGGGAAAGAATAAGAAAGACACCATTGAGACACACAATGTAGTCAAATTCAACTGTCCTGAAAGACTTGGTTTCTGAAAAAGACCTGAAAGCATCTTTTCCTCTATGAATATTAAAAGTGGGCAAGGGAATTAAAAAAAAAAAAAAAAAAAAGAGACACCAGGTTTTAGTATGCAAAAAAAAAAAAAGTAATGCAAACATTCTCTACACAACTGATCATGCAATTATTTCCAAAACTGGTCACAAAAAGAAGCAAATCATGAAATATGTAGTTAGGAGGACAACTTCATGCAGAATGGGTTTGTACAGTACATACCCAGATAGGATCTCTTGGGAGGTGCTTTGATTTCTTCATCCTTACTATCTGCGGCTACATAAAAATAATTGGGGGGGGGGGGGGGAAGAAAGGAAAGACAAACAGACTTTTATGATTAACTGCAACAGTGGTTATTTTAGTTACAGTTTAGTCAGTTAGCACACTTTACTTATTAAAAAATAATAACCAAACCATGTTAGAAATTTTAGTCCCCATGCTTTCTAGAAGGCTCCCACCCCAGGATGTTAAAAGATAGGGTTAAGCAGTAGGAAGTCCCAGAACAGCCTCAATGCACAACCCAACAACAATGCACCTAGGAGGGGAAAATAAAGACTTAAAAAACAATGCAACAAACAGTTTGATTCTTACTTGACACTATATAAACTCTTACTTTTCATGACCAGAGAAAACAAACTGTTATCTCAGCAACATTGAGTGTGCAGGTATGTATACATAAACAGGCTGAGACAATACAGTTGCCCTGCCTCCAGTGGAAAATGCTGTTCCAAAATACTTTCACAAAGCCCATCGTCAGGAATAAAACAGACCTCATCTGCACCCGTGCTGCATGCTAAACTTTCACTCTAACCCTCCTCTGCCAGTTGAAAACCACGTATTACACAAGAGTGTTTCCCAGTGCCAAAAACAGGGCTCTTCGAGGGATCAGAGTGCTATAATAAGATACAAGTTATAAAGCAGATTAGCAGTTGGAAGGAAGACAAAACTGGATGAATAATCAGAGGAAATCATCTTCATGTAAAAACACAAGAGCCCATGTTCTGCTTACAGAGCCTGGGCTGCAGTACAGTACAGAGAGACACACAAGGGCCTGTTTTTAAGAAATGCTGTCCACTAGTTCTCAGTATAGTTCATAAATTCAGGGGGCTCAAAATCTGTCACAATATCTTGGTGTGACTGAAGTCTTTGCTGAAGAGACGTGAAAAGAGAGAAAAGGTTCTTCGTAGAATGTCTGTCTGTCCATGAGTACAGAGAGACTGCTCTGCCAGCCAACATTCTCCAAACTGACCAGATGTTTGCAGCTGTGACCACCTTGCTTCAGCCACCTCTTGCTTCTCCAGCCAAAACACAGCCCATGCACATTTGGCTTTTCAATATTCAGCTCTTCAGCATGCCTGCGCCACCATGCCCCAGAAACAGAACACTAAATAAAAACAACAAAAAATCGCCACTGAACCCTGAATCTTTCTGCACTGAACAAAAAACGCAGTATACATACATACAGATGCACAGACACCAATTTAAAGGTTGGAAACAAATAAGGAAAGCTATTGTTACCACAAAAACGGTACCAGGAGATCTCCATTAAAGCAGTTAAAATGCAATTAAAGTGATGTTAAATACAGGACAAAAGATGAGGTATTTTTTCATGCCTGGTGATTTTTGTCTGAAGACTCCTTCTTGTAGCTTTCAAAGCGTTCATATGCAGGAGAGAGAACTATCCTGTCACTTGAAGTTTTAAAATCAAGTTGAGGGTATTTGTTGTTCTCGTATTTTGCTTGTTTGGGGTGTTGTTTTTTTCCCCAATGTGAACTGCTAAAAACAGGCTACACGGTCCAAGTTTAAAAAAAAATAATAAAACACTAGGATATATAAAGAGGACTTTCTCTATTTTGGATCAGTACTTGTACTAGAAGGATAAAGTTTAGGTATCCAAAACAAAAAATATCAGAGAAGGCAGCAGAAGCACAAGATGGGCTCCACCACTTACTTTTACTTTGCAACACTAGAAGTGTAGGGGGGAAATCCCATAATTGAGAAGTAACTGAGAGAAGGAAAAAAATTAGGAAAACTTGGATAATCTTTCTAAGTTCTCTGTAGAGAGCCTGATAAACAAGCAAACATTACTAGAAAGAGTCTAGGAAGACTGCATTTTTCATGCAAATGAAACCACAAGAATTTCGACTGAATGGCTTTATGCCTATATTTGAATTGCTATTGATATGTATTTTAACCCAGTAACACCACAAAACAGCTTAGAGAATACAGAACAAGCTTGTCAGGATTTGAAGAGACTGCTTCTGAATGCTCAAAGATAAGAAGTAGATTCCTTCTGAACTAGTTATTACTTAAGGGACCTTACTTGTGAGAATAATAAAAACAAGAGAAAAGGAAAGGCAACTCCCAGATCATTCAAAACATATTTCTGTGACTTGGAGGAGGTATCACATTTAACAGTCATTTAAGAAAACAACTAACTCCCACTGAAATATTCTTTCTAAATATTTTGGATTATTTTGCAGAAACACTTAAAGGGAAGATAGAAGTTAAAAAAGAAAAATGTTTGAAATTAAGGCCAGCCATGTGAGAAATAATACATTACATTATCATACAGAAATCGTGTACCTTCCCCTCAGGATTCTGCAAGGTTAATCAAAAACACTGACTTCAAACACAGCTTTTCATTGCCCCAGTAAGCTATGAGGAAAGAAAGTAAGTATACAAATTTATCAGCTTGCCTAAATCACCATAAAACTTAAGAGATAAGATTAGGTGTAGGACTAGAAGCACAGATCTCACTCCTACTGTGCTTGAAACACCATTCTGTCTAGCTTGAGAGGAGCTTTGTACACATCTATATTTTTACAGTGAGCCATAGTTGTCCTTACTAAAAATCAATCCCAGGCAAGAAAAATAATTTAACTGTTCTCAAAGTTTGTGGGACAATGCAAGCCTTTCGATGAAAACGAATAATTAAGGTCAACAAATAGGTAAAATCTGTCTCTCTAGCAAATTCCACATGACACTCTGAGTTCCTGCAAAAAGGATCAAATGACACAATGCAACCTTAAGGAGTTTCTATCATCTGACAAGGGAAAGACTGATTATCCTTTAGGAGACTGTATGCTCTTTGTCTTTCAGGGAGAGTTGTTTAAAGAGCGCTATAAACTAAACTGAAAAGCCTCCCCTTTTGTCCAAAGGTTACCGAAGCAGCCTGCTACAGTCTGTGTGCTTAAATGTGTTCCTCTCAGAAAGGGCAAACAGAGAAACCTCTCTGTCAACTCCACTAGCACAGACACCAAAGGAGAAAGAAAGCACACATGCCCCTCCCTTATGTTTCCTGGATTTTAACTGCTGCTAAATCTGGCTGAAAGTAGGTCTTAAGTAATTCATCCTGCCAGACTGACAAGCCCTGTGAACACAGCAGCTTGCTGTTTGGAAGCTGGAGTACAGCTCCTCCTCCACATGAATTCACTTACCTGAACAGTTTCACACTACAACACTTCCCAATGAGCAGGAATGGAAGTAGCTTCCTTAGCTATTAGATAAATTACCCTACTGCACAGCCAGTAGCTGCTGCCTTCTAATGATGGCTGTGGATATCTGGAATTGGATCAGACCCTCAGTTATTAGGGAGTGTGGAAGAGAACAGATGGAGAGCATAAATTAGACATCCAAAATGGCAAAACAACTGACAAAAAGCTGACAGTGTTAATTCTGTTCTTGTTGGTAATAAGCTGTTACATAAAATGCTGTAAGTCAAAGTCAACACAGAGAAACAAAAACCTACCCCTCTCACATTTCTTATCTGAGGGTTAGAAAACAGGTACTTTTCACAAAGCCCGAACATTGTATTAAATAAAGAATAATACTCTGGCCTGACTGAAATTATCAACGCCTAAAAATTAACAAATAACTAAAAAGAAAAAAAAAAACCCAGGAAAAAAGAAAATTCCCATAAATCCCAACTAATCCCACACTAAAACCCCAGGGTACACAAAACGAGACAGTTTTGCAACTATGATACGTCAGCACCTCCTCTTTTGACAGTCAGTAACTCAAATAAGTAGAAAATTAGTTTCGTACAAAGGCAAATGTTTGCAATAAATCGCAATAAAATAAATTTTCATATGATAATGTATAATCAGAACTATGAACTTGGTAAAAATTACAGCTAAAGAAAATAATTTCTTATTCCAGCCAAGATCTTAAAAAATAATCCAGGCTAGCAGAATGGCATAACAACCAGCTCTATATTCAGAGCATGACATGAAATATTAAGGAAATTTCTAGACTGAACCGAGACCCATCTGTACACACATTTACCTGGAAAAAAAAGATGTTTCAGAACAGGAGTTTAGAAAGCCCTGCACCACATTATCCAGAAGAGACCGGACTGCAATTCAGACAGAACTTTTGTACAAAATGCAGCGCACTGTACTTTCAAAAGCAGCTGTCCTGCAAAAGCCAGCTCCCGTCACTGACCTGCAAAAGAGCGGCGCTTTATGTTCAGCTCGTTGGACACTCGGACTTCGGTGCACAGCTTCAGCATCAGTAACATCGTAATGATCATGATAATGCTTTGCCACAAAAGAGGGGATTCAAAACGCCTTCCAAACCTAAAAAAAAAAAAAGAAAAGAAAAAGAAAAGAAAATACATAAAGCATTTAAGCATGTGGAAAGGGAAATGCTGCCAGCAACAGGTATGAAAGGCTGAGGAAGCCAAAGTCACCAGCCAAACCTGGATGCACATACAGTAGCTCAGAGCAGGAGCATCTGAGAACCTTATTTCAAGTGATCCTAGAGATTCTGAAGCCAAAACCTTAAGTCTTTGTTTCCAAAGCCAGCAGCAAACCTATTATTTTGAAAGGAGAACCACATTCATGAAGCGGTCAGGTCAGTTCAGAGAGACCAGAGGGTTATGCCACATTAAAACCAATTATGTGTTTTCTCCACATACACACTCAGTAGATTCCACATGGACTTCTGTGCAAAACTTACCTTTCTCAATTTATCAATTTTTAATGTGAAGGCATAAAGACAACAGCACTCTCCCTATAAAGAAATAAATACCTACAGCCCTGTCTGCCTCTAGACATCTGAGTGGAAAGACCAGGTCTGCAGAACACACCAATTATTTCATCGATATTTGTCTTATTTGGACCAAGATTGGCGGAAGTAAGGAAGTACAAATGATGTTTGATGGGGGCTTCTGAGCACTTCGTGCATCTTGTATTGTGGCCAGTCTTGACTGAAGAGCTTACTTTTATGTGATTGCACAAAATCCTGCCACAGGAAAATGAGAACCCTTGACTGAAGATCAGTGATGCCTCAAGCTCCTCTTGCTACATTAGCTGATGAAAGCTCAGCAATCCCCACCACATGCTCAATAAGTGCATTACTACAGTCACTCTCTGACCACATCACGCTGACTGAGTCCTAAGCCTCACAGGCACGGCAACTATTGCCCTCTTCTTCACAGATCAACAAAACATACGTGTAAGAAATGCATCTTCCCAAACACCAATCCCCAAAACGAGTCTTGCAGGCAACGCAACCCTTTAAACTAGATCACATATACAGGAAAACAAACAGCTGCCAGCTGCAGAGCCAACACGACATGGCCTACAACCACACTACCTGGGTAACAAGACTAGAGGGAACACCCGTGTTCAAGGACCACTGTTGGGTTCTTGAAGCTGTAAAAGTAAAGCCAGAACACTCATTTTGCTCTGGGTCATGGAGACAAACACCACTCCGAGCTGCTTACCCTACTTTGCATCGATATTAGGGCCTGTCGAAGCAATACTAATCCAGTTTACGACTCCTCAGGTCAGCCTGAGTCAGGAGCACTGTGAGATGTAAGCCCTGCAGGGAGAGCGTGCTATTCCATGCTCTGCTTACTTCCTGCCTTGCAGACATTATTCCTGTCTTTGCCTAAGCAGGACCTGGGAGAGGAGGAACATCAAAGTAATTAAAGTATATTATGAGAGAGAGATGAAGAGCCTCAGGATACTAGAACAGGCTTGCAGAAATGAACAGCTTTGAAGCCCTGGGGTGAGGGGGTCACCACTATTATTCTGCATTTTCACCCCATAACTACAATGCTGTGTCATCAAGTGAACAGTGACACTTTGAGTATACAGGGAGCTCAGACTTCATATGTCAGACTACACTGTTTACTTTGTTTGTAAAAACAAAAGAACTCTTTATTTCCTGTACTAGTCAAATGCACAAATAAAGGGAGGGAGGAGCTTACATTTTATCAGTACTTCCACAGCCTTAAAATGACTAATGCATGTTCAGGGTGGTGAAGACAAGAGAAGCGAACATTCAAGCCAGAGCAGAGACTAACTAGTCATTAAGAAAGCTACTTAATTCCATTGCTACGATTCAATCCTATTGCAATAATCCTGCTATTCCAGTCCTAGGCCTACTCAAAATAGCAAATGCCAACTGTGCAAAAGAAGCCTAAACTAGACCAAACACAAAAGATTCGCTTATAATTTTTTTCCTAAGACGTCTCTGAAAAGAAACTGACTGGTGTTGGTGCAAACAGATCACCATCGCCCTGCTTCCTCCTACACTCCTGGATGCTGTTTCAGCTTCCACCCGCTGGATGCTCTAGACTTTTCCTGCTCTTTGGGAAGTTACAGATTCTAGGCAACATGGAAAGCACACAGGATATTGCACACACCACCAGGGCCATGACAGACAGCCCACGGCAGCAGCACGGCAGCTGTCCTGAAAGACGTCCCACGGAATTACAGAATTTAATCAGCAGGAAGGACAAGGAACAAACTGGTTTTGCAACAGGATCTTTTCGTAGGAGTTTCTTCTTGACACGTAAACTTCCAAGACTTTATGGTAAACACCCCCAAATCAAGTTCTTCACTTGGGCATACAAAATTCCGCTTTACTTTCTGCACAGAAGAGGAATGCATTTTATCCCTGCTCTCCATCACTTACAAAAAAAGGAGGAGGAATTGAGTAATGCTTTTGCTCTCAATATCTAAGCAAGATTCCACCAGCAGGCCATACGTAAGGCAATCTTTCAAAGTTCTAGTCACTCTGTCAGCTTGATTTATAGCATCTTCCCACACTCACCACATGGTAAAAGCTGGCAAGATCCATTTTAGTAACAGAAGCCTTAAAAGGAGTTTCTCTTCTTCACAGAAAGTCCTACAAACAGACAGCACTGCCCCACTTTCTGAAGCCAAAGCAACACTGGACAGCAGAAACCTGATTCAGTAGTGGCACTGTAGGTGTTACAGCAACTCCACAGTTCTCATTTTTAACCTGACTGTCAGAACTTCTTCCCACAGTTTGTCTTAAGGCAACTATTTTGTGAGAACAACTGCAAAACTGGACGGTTTTATTTTCTGTTGTTTGGATTTCTGGGGCATTGCTGTATGAGGGTTAGGACAGTGGCCTGAAGAATTGCATCTTGAAACCTCTAGAAAGAATATTGTCTTCTTGGAAAATACACAAACCATATTATATTATGACATCCATTTTATGAAGTGCAAAACTGAAAAAAAAAATCCAGAAACTTCTGAGAACAGCAGGGAGCATAAGTACTTTTGGCTGCACTTACTCAAGACACAAATCAAAATGCCTACTGCAGTTCCTTTTCCTCTAGCTATTTATTCGGATTTTAATATTAAAAGAAATCATAATTTATCTCATCATGAGCTCAATTTTAAAAAAGAAAGGGTGAAGAGAGGGGGAAGAGACAGAGAACTCACAGTAAGTTTTTCTGCATCCTCCACCCCCAACTGATTATACAACTCTCACCCACCTTCTTGTTCCTGTTCTTGATCATGACAATGCAAAGCTACTCAGCTGGCAGACTGCAGGCCACATGAACCCAGAAGATGTGCCCATCTTGGTCACAACTGAGCTCATGTGCCACAAGGGCACTCTGAAGCCATCCCACAACCTCAGAAACTGCCCTGGGACAGCCCTAACAGATAATTAATCACTTCAAAGCTCAAGCATCAGGTTATCCCTTGAGCAAGAAAACAGAGCTAATTCAGAAAGTACAGCAAGACATACGCTAACAAAAATGTTAATGAAGAGTTTAATTAAAAATGCAGAGGGAAAAAAACTGCTATCAGATTTTTTTTTTTGGAGCAGGTCACGCAGTTTCACATGTACCAGAATTACAAAGGCACTGCCTCTCCCTCTCTGTCCAGAGCACAGACCTTCTCCAGACTGACCTTTCCAGAGAAGCAGTGACTATGGGGCTGGAGAAGACAGACAGAAGGAGCAGTACTGACAGTGGTGGAAGGACTAGAACAAAGGAACAGCTGATGCAATAATAAATCATGTCCAGCAGCTATACTGGTACCCCAAAATAAACATTGCTTCGACGTGTTACATAAAATTGTAACAACAGATTACCACTAAAAATAAAGTTAACTCGGTATCAAGTTTAGTACAGCACAAAATCTAATTTCACACTGGTAAGCAGACCCTGCTGTGTGATGCTCTAAGAACAAACGGTCTACTTATCAATTATTTTTTTTTTAATTTTTTTTTTTTTAAGAATCCTCTTTAAAAGGGCCCAAGACTTCATCAGGGTCAAACTTCTAGTTTCTTTTTCCTAAACAAAAGCCACGTATGCCTAAACAAAGTGAAGCAGAATCATGCCCATTGCTATACACACACACAGTTTTTATTCTCGCAGACCAGCCCTTTCCCAACGTTGTCACACAAAGTTCTGGCACGCAACTCGTTACTGGAACACAGTAAGGCCAAACAAACATAATTGAAAGCAAAAATGTCTCTTTTAAAATGACATTTTGAGACATCATGTAGAAGAGAAGCATGAAAAATTACTTAATGGGTAATGTGTTACTGTCATCACTGACAAGTTAACGTTCTTTGAGCACGCCCTGAAACTAAGGGATTAGATGCAAGAAGACAAGGAGGAGAGGCACTGCACTGAGACTTCTTGACTTGAAAAGACGGCTTACCATTGGAGACAGCCTAATTGGAGGAACCGAATTTTTTGTGAAAACAGGTAATTCAGAACAGGATTGTTATCCTTGATCTCAGCAGTACTTTGTTCATTGACTATTGTCGCAGTGCAATACACCCGCTGCAAGTCTATTGACATAAAACACGCCAGAAGATTAGGAAGTAAATACACTATTTGGAGGGGATATGAAAGGTCAAACTTCACCCACTGCAAAAGCAGATGTTAAAACAAAAAACAAAAAAAAAACCCTCTGAGATAAACAAGTACAGTTACAGGAACGTGTGGAATATGTCATTTCACAAACTGAAAACGAGGGAATTGCCCCCATAGCTGAGGTGAACAAGTAGAGACACAGGTGAAGGGGGGGACTGGATCTGTTCCAAGTGACAAAAACACAGACCAGCACTACCCAAAAGTGAAAATACAGATGCAACCTGGTATAAAAGGCAGGAACTGTCTGTTCTGTAAGCCTCAAATTCAATATACAAAATTCAGGGAAAATCTTGAAGTAACAACAGAATTGAATTATAAAAGTGTCTTTGAAGATAAAACTAAAACAAAGAAAAACCACAAACACCAGCCATCCTAAGAAATAATTAAGCCCTGAAAAGCAACTCTATAAAAACTTAAAAAGTGTAAGGCCTACCACTTTAAGTATTTATTTTTGGATCACACTGGTGGGGAAGTCAAGAAGCATGACTCTGGCTCAAATCATGTGCTTATTAACCAGGGGTAATGAAGAGAAACTAAACGCAATTGAAAACAGCAGCTACATGGCAGTAAAGTTTTCAGAAGTGAAACACGGATTAAGACTTGGTTTGCTGAAGAGAAGGAAATGCCAACTGGTAAAAAACCTATACACAGAACAGAGTTGCTTACAGGAACAGTTCTGTTCTGGCACCAGAATGGATTTAAATGACTTTATAAATTTAAAACAAAATAAACAAAAATCTTTTAATTCCCTCCAATTAATATTATATACACAACTAAAATAATTCTGCTGTTTGTTTTGTCATATTATCAAGAGATTGTATACCAAGTAACGCATCAGTCATAGGTGAAATTAACCAATTAACGCAAAAATTGAATTCCCAAGTTGCTCTATGGATGCATTTTAACCGTGTTCAGAGAAATCAGAGGCCCTTGCTCTTTTACCTTTCTTTAATCATCCATATGCCCAAGGATAACATCCAACCTCAGTGCTGCTTTCCTGACTTACTGGTGTTTATAATTAACTACCAGGGATGCCCAATTTTTTTAAGTAGACAAGCAAAATATTCTCTCTCAGGGAACATTTAATTATCATCACGCAAATACTCTTCTGTCTTTTAGTTTCTGCAAGCACAGGCATCAGTTCTTCATGGATTACAAAGCAGTATTTTGTAGCCAAAATAGAATCAGAGAATAACTGTTCTTAATTGCAGTAACTTCCCAGACCATTTAATCTTTGGTTTCCCATGTACATTGCCAGTGTTGTAGCATCTCTATTATTAGAAGTAATGAGGAAGATGTTAATAAAATGAATTAACAGAAATCATGCCCTAATAACATTTTCTTTGTCCAGCAGCACAAGAGCTAAATATGGAAACAGACTTGCTTTTAAATACTGAGACTGCTGTTGAAAACAAAAGGAATTTGCTTTGAAAGGCAGCCCACCTTTTGCCTGCTTATCCAAGAATTAATATTTTCATCTCTAGTTGTGCATGAGAGCTCTACAAGTGAACCCCCTCTGAAGCCAGCTGGCATCCCGGGAAAACGCAAGAACATATGGCAAATGTTCCAGTGACGTTAATGCCAACGAGACACTAGAATAAGCATGCGGGGACGGAGGCTTTCACTCTGAGAATGGAGCTGGAGGGGCAGCGAAAACGTACAATACAGTCAGCAAGAAAAAAGACCTGACTCAGCATAAACCTCTTTACCAACAAGTTAAAAAGTTACATCTTGGAAACCAGTGCACTGATAATCAGATTCGGCAAGGGGAACAGACCATGCTTCCGAGCCCAATTCATTCCACTTAAATCAGACTCACGAACTGATGGCAAGACAGTATTTTGATCTTCAACAAAGGGGGGAAACTATGTAAAACACATTATTTCCCAAACATTCCAGTCAAAGCTTTACACCTAGCAAGTAAGCGTGAATCTTTAGAACCGTGCAGACACATCACCAGCTTACCAGAACAGTATCCGCAGAATGTTGGCGACCAGCAGCACCAGGCAGACGTAGGTGGAGAAGCCCTCTGCGTTCTGTGTCCGGCGGATGTCCCGGTACTGGGGGATGTAGGGCACCACGCCGCCGAACACCATGGCCCCCGCGGCGCCCCACGACACCAGCTGCTGCATGGGCACCAGCAGCCACTCCAGGCCGCCCGGCTCCATGCCGGGGGGGCGCGGGGAGGCGCTCAGGCTGAGGGATGCCCCGCCGCAGCTCTCCGGCCGGGGCCGGCTCTAGCCGCGGGCGGGCTCCTGGCCGGGATGCGGCACCATGGCTGAGCCCTTTCCCGCAGCGCCCGGACCTGGGGAAAGGAATGGCGCGTCAGCCTGCCTCTGCCAGGGGCTGCTCCGGCCGCTCTCAGCCGGGACCGCCGCCCTGCCGCGGGCGGGTCGGGGCCGCCTCCGCCCACCGCCCCAGCCTGGCTCTGCCACGGCAGCCAGCGCCGAGGAGACCCGCCAGCGAGGAGACCCGGGGAGGGCACGGACACACGGCGCCGCCGCCACCCCCGCCCGGCCGGTTCTCCGAGGGGGCTTCCCCGCCTCCATCACCCAGCCGCGCGCTCCCCGCCCCGCGCATCCCGAGCCGCGCGAACACGCGTGTCCGTCCGTCCGTCCTTCCACCCATCCATCCATCCATCCACTCCCCCATCCATCCACCCCGTACCTGCTGCCGCTGCCCCGTCCGCCGCCTCCATCCCCCCGGCGCTCGGCGGGCGGGCAGAGCCAGCCCCGGGCGGCCCGTGACGCCACCGCGACCGCCCGCGCCGCCGCCAATGAGCGCCGGGGCCGCCCCTTCCTCCGCCGGCGAGCGGCGGCGGTCGCGGCCCTGGAGCAGCGCTCTCCCTCCTCCCTTTCCTCCCCGGGGCACCGCTGCCTGGCCCCCGCACCCGGGCGGCCCCCGCACACGCACCGGGGCAGGGCGGGGGTGCCGGGCTCACTCCCCCGGCCGCACCTGGGCGCCCTCCCCTCCCCTCCCTTCCCCTCCCCTCGGCGGGCCCCGCTGAGCCGCCGCCCCGGATCCTGCTCCCCTGTCTCCGGCTTCTTCCTTCTACCCAGGAGTTACGGAAAACTCCGCCACGCCTCACGGACAAAGGGGCAATGGCTCTAAACTGAGAGATTTAGATTCTATATTATCCAGAAATTCTTTACTGTGAGGATGGTGAGGTTGCTGAGAGAAGCTGTGGATGACCCACCCCTGAAGTTATTCAAGGCCAGGTTGGACAGGGCTCTGTGCTACCTGCTCTGCTGTAGGGTGTCCTTCCCCATGACAGGGACGGGGAGAGGGGTGTGGAACTAGATGATCTTCAAGGCCCCTTCCAACCCAAACCATTCTGTGGTTCCATTATGATTCTGTGATTTCCATGACTCTCAGAACCGTAGTCACTACTTACCTACACACAATTCAACTAACCAGCACATCTGTACCAGAGAGGGGGTTTTCCCACAGTGGTATGGAAAAAGGGTGGTGGGGGAGGGAAAACATTGCATCTTCTACCCAAAGTGATTGGTGCGTCTGTACTGCTGGTTGCAGTGGGCCACCTGCGCACATGTTGCAAGGAGATGGACACTGCATCACTGAGGTGACGGCAAACCTCAGTCACACTTAAAAGGATGGATCATCCACTGTGCCTCCAAGTGGCTGCACAGCTGTCCTCAAAGCTTGTTCTCTGGGTTCCCCATAATACTTTCATAGACTGCTACCTTTTAAGTACCCCTGCTTCTCATCCAGTAGGTGGGAAATGAGATGGGGTTTCCCACACATGTGTGACGCATTATTTTGTGTCCTGTAGCAGCAACTGCAAATGTTTGTTGTGAGGCTTCAGTGGGGAAAAGGAGACGCATTAAAACTAGAAGTGTCTGTTTCAGGGCTCTTGGAAGGCTTTTGTTTACTTCCTGCATAGCAGCACCTTGCTCAACTGCAACCATTTCTGCCACCAGGCAAGTTCTTGCAGCATACATGCAGCACATGAACCTGCACATTACTGCAGAGAGTATTTGTCAAAGACCATTCTTGGGGTACTATCACACAAACATCCAAAACACTCTCCAACATAGAGGAGGTAACCAGTGATAACATTAGGAGTCACCTTTCCTACAGGGAAGCAGTAGCTCTGCTACTCAAACAAAGCTGTTAAGCCTAATCAATAACAAACTACATATGGCATTAGATTCTAAAGTGTCAACTGGAAACAGACAATCACTTTAACTTAGGTTGTTCACCCTTACTTGAAACAGTAAGGATAAAAACTCTGAATTACAGCATGTTGCTGTGTGAAAATAATTCAGTTTTGGTCACTAAAAAAAATGTCCTGGTTGTTCAGTAGTCAATCCGTGGACATAAGGTAAACTGACCAGACGCTGGGTAGGGGGAGGAATGACAAGTTGGCTCAAACTCCTCAAGATGAGCAGCTGCACAAAATCTTGCACCAGGATCAGGGAGGGCCCCTTCAGGTCCCAGGATATTGTAAGCAGCCAGGGGCAATTTTCTTTGGCAGTGGTGCCATCCCGAGGTGCTTGCTGATTCCGGTATAGCATCCTACCCAGCACACACAACATCCAACCACAGCAGACCCAGCAAGCCTCCAGTAGGAGAGTGCCCTGGAGGAGCTTTATCTAAAGCTTGGGTGATAACAGGTGTTTGAAGAGAGTCTTGCTTCATCAAGACTCAAGTTTAGCAACCTGCAGGTCACATGAGAATGCTCAGCCTTGTGAGGCTTCATACCAAACTAGATTTCTTTATCTGGTAGATAGTGACTGAGAGGGAGCTAAGAAGGACTGCTTTCTTGGTATAAAAGCAGAGACTATTGTAGAAACAGTACTTCTTCACTGCCAGACAGCAATCCTGTTTCCAAATGAGGAGAAAAAGAACAGGTGCATTTATTTTTCCACACTGACTGGCAAAATTCCACAATCGAAAAAAAAAAAAATCTCTATTCACTAAAACTACATCACCCATTCAGACAACAGAAGCAGACAAAGTTTCATACCAGGTCTTTGAAGACTAATATTAACCTATTTAAGACAACTGCTGTAGGAGAATTGAAACTGAGTATGTGAGCAGCTCTAGTCACCTAATTATGAAATAGCTTCTATCAGTTAACATTCTGGTGACAAACGAATCCCCAAACCTCCAAACATAACAAGAACTTATATTTATTCCAGATTAGGAAATCTGATAAAAAAAATGTTCCTATACTATCTTTGAATACAGTTTAAGCAAGCTGAAAGTGGTGAACAGACATGCCATGTTTACAAAGGGATTTTAACATTGGTAGAGGTGGTTAAAATTATTACATAAGGTTTAGTTTTGCAAACAGGTCCACTGACTTAAAAGAGTAAGCAAAGCACCATTTCTACAGTTGACTCCAGATGGCCATATTCCTAGCAGGACAAAAGGCAAACAGGATTCAGGAATCGACCACCCAAGTTGGACCAGTTTCAGGGCAAGATTTAGCTGCCTCTGCAGTTTTTTTTTACAGGAGGAGGAGGAGGACGGCTGTTGGTGCTTCACTTGTAGTTACTGCAATAGCAAAAATAGCAGATTGCTGCAATTGTCCTAACCAGTCTGTTGTTCTGTCAATTGATTTTGAAAGATGAACATTAAAATTATTTTGTAGTCTGCATTACAGGAATGCTGTTGCACTGAAGCAAGCATAGCAGGTCCCTACAAGATGTCAGCTCAAGTGCAGATAAGCTCTAAGTCACTACGTGAACACGTTGCACAATAAGTGTTTTCATAAGGATTATGGGAATTCCTACAGTAGCCAAATATCCTTCAATCATCACATTATATCTCATTCTACAACTACAGCCATGGGGAGATTAAAAAGAAATATTCACTGCACTGTTCATAAAACAAGTAAATGGGTCTTAAGTGCCTTGAAACTGGCCATTCCTACCGTGATGCATTATCACTAAATCAGCTGTCCTCATCTCTCCATTTTTTTGATTTTCTACAGCAACCCTAATGCAACTGCTGGCAGAAGCTACCTCCTGACCCCTTCTAACACTGATAAGCCTCTGTTTTGGTAACTGATAGACAGAATCAAGCTAGCATTAATAAGAGATACTGTTTTATTGCACATCTTAACCACTTTTTATTTCTCCTTCTGTGCTGGTCTTTGTAAGCAGAGCAGTGAATATAAACAGTGATGTGGAACACCCACCAGCATGCAAAGGAACAACCTCTCCACTTCCAAGGAGAACCTCTGACAAACGGGCCCAACCTACAAGCTCATCTCTGGGCAGTAGTGACATGCCTTGCACTGGGGAGCAGGAACCAGGGCTGTGCAGGCTAAGATGGTTCGAGTCCTTTCTGTACTTGGACTGCTACCATCTCTACAGATAAATGGAGAAAAAGCCCTAAAGCAAACATGCCAGAGCAGAAATCAACCTGACAGCTGGCAGAGATGCACGAACCCCTCTGCAAACCATTACAGCTTTGAAACAATGAGCAAAGTTCAGGTGAGTGGAGAAATAAACAAACAGCAGTCCCAGTTCACCTTCTTACCTGTGTAATATGTATTACTGCTTAACCCACAGCCTGCTCTTCTGTCAGACAGGTCCAGCTGATGCCTTTGGCATGTCCCATGGCCTCAGCAGCTGCTTGCAGAAGAGGAGCCAACAGGCAGCTCCTTCTCAGCACCAGTCACGGAACCAACCTGCGTATCCTTTCCCAGCAGCGAAGCCAAAAGTGCTCACCTCAACATCCTTTAGGAGTGGAGTTGTTTTCTCTTAAGAAAATATGTAATAGCTCAAAGGACCAGAAGCGAGGAACATCTCCACAGATGGGATCTGCACAGTGTGCCATGGGAAAACACCATGTAGGCTCCATTCACTGCTGAACCAATGCATCATGCTCGGCGTCAGAAGGGACACAAGATCTATTCACAATCTAGATTCCTCTTTTTATTCTATCTTATTAAAACGCCTACTTTATTAAGCCATTTCTTGTTGGACCCTACTTGACGCAATATAGAAAGAGCCCTGCAGCATCTCCCTCTCTCTCTCAAAATACTTATAATTACAGGATCAGTGTGTCCAGCAAGAAGTGGCTGATACTGGAGAGTGAGATGGGAAAGAGGGAGTGTGGTGGGATGACCCCAGGCACCAGTGAAGCCCCACCACCACCACTTGCTCACTCGCTCTTCCCAGCAGGATGAAGGAGGTAATCAGGAGGGTGAAACCATAGGAAAAACACTCACGGATTGACATAAAAGTCTAATGGAGAATAGAAAGAATAAAAGTAAGTGATGCAAAGAAATCACTCATCAACTCCCACTTACAGGCTGATGCCCAGCCA